ACACGAACAGTTGCTTTGCTGTCTTCAGAAAAATTAAAAATTGGTGTCAGATAAGCGGTGCCTGGTACTGCTGAGTGTGATGCTGGTGCAGTATGTAGGCGTAATCTCAACTCTGCACCTTGTGGCTGCAGGGAGCTGCTGGGATGCTCTGGAAGCAGGTTATTGATAAACTTCGACGGCAAAGAGCCGCGTTGCCCGCTTTGAGCAGCGTTAGTCTTTGTGCAGCAAGGATCCTGACACCGATCTCGGTGATAACCCAGCCAGAGAGCGTGTGATTCGAGCTACTTTCCGTTAAGCATGTTGATGTTACAGTAAATGTGACATGTGGGTGTTGATTGAAGGGACATAATTTTCAGGCCTGCTTTGGGCCAACACCCTCAAGAGCATATCAGTCCTTTGTGCTTGCTCCCCAACTAGGCTGAGCTCTCTGTGCTGCGCCTTCAAGACAGCAGTGACTGTGAGGAGAACTGTGCACTTGACGTGCTGCAGCACATTTCTAGGCTGTATCCTGTACCTGGCTACCAGGAACTGTGTCCTCATGGTGGACTCTGGGTTCCCCAGCTTGTCCAAGAGAAGGGTGGCCCGTGGGATAGCCTGTGCCTTGTCCCCCAGGTGGGCACAAGGGTGGGCAGTGGCTGTGGCAGGGTGCTGGGGCAGGCAGGGCACCCAGCAGCACTCTGCAGTGAAGGCACTGGCAGTGCTTGCCTTCACCACCCCGTTATTGATTTGTGCAGAAAGCAGCCACGGGGAGGAAGCTTCACATGCAACACTTTGGCCCAACACCAAAACATTTCCTCTGCCCCCTTTGCCTCATTTTGATACTGTAGAACAAGAAAAATAAGGAAAAGAATAGCTTGGCAAGTTCTAGATCCTTTCTTACCCTGGTTCTGCAGAGCAATAAAAAGACAAGAAAATAAATGATTGCTGTCTGGACCCAGCCTCACCCAAACTCTGTGAACAAGCATCCATGGTTCTGTCCTTTAAAGCCTTGGAAATGACTTTTAGCAAAACAGCCGTTTCCACTATTAGTGGGTAAAATTTTGAGACAATTGACAGGCAAAAAGTAGTTAGCATTTGCGTTCACTTTAACACTGGGCATGAGAGCATTGTTTGCATGGGGCACATATGCTTTAATGATGTCACCATGCTGGAGTAGGAGTGCTGGTGGCTTTGTGAGAGTGCCTTTATGGAATTAAGGAGTTTGTCCACTGTATTTTGGTGTGGTAGACCTTGGAGATGCTGCTTAGAGTCCAGTCAGCAAGTGTAATGCTTTTTTTGAGTAAAGCAAATGATTTTGATTGTCTGGTTGCTTTAATTTCACAAAGCCATCACATAACAACTGTGTCACTCATGTCCCCAAAGACTGCCCATCGCCAGCTCACTGTGCTCCCTAGGCAGGCAATGCCAAGGCAATCCTCTGTGTAGGAATCTCTGGATGTAGGGAAAATACTGGGCACACCTTAACATGCCTGAAAGAACCAGGGCACGAATCCTGGCTGGAAATAGCTCATTTGGTTTTTTTTTTTTACTTTTTCCATGTAAGCGACATGAGATGTTTTCCCTCCTCCTATTTTGTGTGGCCTAATTTCTTCTTCTTAAAAATATAAATTAATTTAAAATAAATACTTGTGAAGAAACACCCTCCTACCTCTAAACCCATCTACCAACAACAGCAATAAAACCACAGAGTTAAATTCAAATAATGTGAAGCGACTCATTTTAAACCCACAGACACAAGCAGAGTCAGAACTTTAGATTGAGACTGGCCTAAATTGCCCCACTGGTATTAAAGGGCTTCTTAAACAGCCTAAGATCTTGGCTGTTGTATTAACCAGGCATGACCCAATGCGTTATGGGCTGGACTTGCAGGCTTTTTTCTCTTTCCCTTTGTGGGTTTTAAATCTCTCCTGTAATGTTACTTGAATGTAGGTTTTTAATGGCTTAATTGAGTTGTCAATAGGAAGCCTTTTCTTTCTTGTGTTTTTTTATTCTGAGTAAAAAAAAAATAAATGCAAATTGACATGGATAAAATGCATTTGAAGATCTATTCAGTATTTTGTTTTTCATTCTTTTATGTCTGTTTTCCATGTTGTGAATAAGGGGATGTAATATAGCTTTTGCATTGTTGGGTGAATAGCTGGTCTCATGATTGATGATTTATTAAGCTCAAATCAGAAATAGAGTTGAGTAAAAAAAATCTTTTGATAGTTTGAAACCCAATTACTACTGATCACGAGGGCTCGGCGTACCAAGAAAACGAAAAGCTGATTTTTGGTGATGTGACGACTGCCAAAATATGAAGGAATACCAGATGTTATTTTAAAAAAGTGCCATTGCAGAGTCCTTGGAAAGAGAGAGTGAGCGAGTGTAAGCTAATAGGCATATGTGGATTTAACTAATATTCAAATGAAGTGTAGAACTGAAAAGAAAGAATTCGTAACAGTTTAGCTGTTCAAATCTCCTTCATGTTTGCACTGACGCCTGGTCAGGACCCTTATCAATTGCAGCAATTTTGCTACATTTTCTGAAGAGCACAATCTAAATCACAGGCAAAAAAAAAAAAAAAATCCTCACATCAAAAAGATAATAAAGTTGAGATCCGTGCTTTTCTTTATATTTGTTACATATATATAAATGCCAAAATTCAGCCTTTGTAATTTAAGACACAGACTTTAATCAAAAGGCTTTACAGGGATGTTAGTGAAACTAGTAACAAGCATTTTTCCTCCGTGCCATCTTTTATTCTTACGACCCTTGGTTCAGTTCTTGTTTTTGTGTTGTCTTTTCCAGCTCTTTGTCCCATCTCCCACTTGTGTATCTTCGTGCCTGTGTGTCCCTCTCTGTACAGTTTTTTAAAATATTTTGACACACTCTTCCCCCTTAATAGGAATTCTGGCTACAAATTGCGTGCACATTTCTAAAAGACCCTTTTCACAGTCCTTTTCTTTTGGCTCTAAAATGATGTATATGTAATTGGTAATTAAAGGTGCAAGCCCTCTTCAATATAAACAATATTGCTCAATGTTAGATCATTAAGGGAACTGCAGCACTAAATAATTACCTTTTGCATCGTGACACACTGTTCGCAGGTATCCGCTCCCTTCCCAGCAGTGCCTTTTCAGCACAGGGTTATAGTCACATTTTCACTAAGGCAAGGAGACATCTTTTCATGATATAAATTGGTGAATTAATTGCTTAGTATTGTCTTCAAACTCCTTTTAAACCTAGAGTAAGAGGAAAACGGTAATTAATGATTTTCAGAATGAGTGAGTTGGGAAGCATGAGCCTTCTCGTGCCCATCGCTGGCTCCAGCAGGATGGTCCACGCCTGGGCACTGCTCTGGGGTCCCTGTCCTTTTCTGCCGTCGCTGTCGCTGCTGCTGCCGCTCTCTGCTCTGCTGTTAGAGAGCTCTGATGCAACTTGTAATACAGCTGGTAGATATGCTGATCAGTTATTTATTCTGGAAGGCAAAAATGGGAATGATTATTTTCCTAAACTACCTTTTTTCGAGGCTTAACCATTTTTGTTGCCAGGCAATGCATTTCGCCTTCTACCTCTTGTCCGTTTTCTATGTGTTTCTTAGTTTTTTTTTTTGTTTTTTTTTTTTTTTTTTTGGTTGGTTTTTTCCCCCCCAATTGCTGTAGAGTGGGACAAATATCCTTTTGTTTTCAGAATGGAGAAGAGTCCAGGTCTGAATTATAACATTTGTCTATCACAGTTTTACTTTGAGATATTTGTTTTACTTACTTTTCCCAGGAAATCCATGAGGAAACTAATAGAGAACATTTTTCCTCCTATTCCTTTAATCCTGATTCGATTAGAGGTCTCAGCCACTGATTTACATACTGTTAGTTCCTCTGTTTTGTTCAGCCCAAATCCTATAGTCCTTGCAGAGGAAAACCAGCCTTAGGCAAAAGTCAGTGGAAATTTTGCCTGAATAAAGTCCAAGGTTTGTATGATTTGGCAGTTACATGGCAGAACAAGACAAAACAAACAAAAAACCATGTTTTGCCCCAGAAATGGATTGTGATCCACAATTATTTTATAGTGTAAAAATTGCCTTCTAAGTACTGATTTAAAACATACTGGGTTTTATTAATTGTGACATGAGAAGTTACATATTTCCTAGAAACTGATTCAAGTCACCCAGAAATTCTTTCCCAGTCTTTGGGGGTAAAGGTAGGAAATTCAACACGTCTGTGGACAAGATTTAAACAAAAAAAACTTTTATTAGCCTATGTAGCAATGGCAGGGTTTTTGGCATTGGAAAAATAGAGTGGAATATTTCAGGCTCAGCCAATATTCCAGTATGTTAAATAAGTGCCTCATTCCCTTTCCCACTGTGCACACTTTTGAAACCCCTTAACTGCTCACGAGACCATACCCTGGTTGTTTTAGTCTTGCAAGTAGTTTTTTGTAATTTCTGCTAATGGGTGGTCATTTAATCTTGCTGGTAACTCTGTAATGGGACAAGGTGGTAATAATTTTGTATGGCACGGGGAGCCTGGTCCTGCTAGTTTGGTGCATAAAAGCTTTCCCCCTCTCCCTGAAAAAGAAGGAAAGACTTGGGTGCATAAACTTTGCTGGATGGGGCCTTGGCCAGATGGCTGGGAGACACGGAGGGAATGAGAAGGTGGGATAAAAAGAGAGGAACTATTTCAGAATGTGACTCGGGGCTCGAACGCTTGCAAAATGGCTCTTTGCTGATATCCTTGCAGTGCTGGCAGCAGTGGGAAGGAGCTGTCAAGAAAGCTATGCCAGGTCAGCCTTTCCATTTTGTTTCAGGCAGGCTTGGTTGCAAAATATATTGAAATCATTCTGGGAGAGCGGAAAAGCTGAAAAATAAAAGAAAGATCTAATCAGGCTTGGCTCCTTTGAGGGGGGTGGGGGGAGGCTGGGCCTCTGGTGATGCATCCTTCAGAGTCTGTGAACACTCAAAGCAATCTCTTTCTCTTTTCCCCTTGTCCCTTTCCTCCCTCTTTCTCCTTGTCCATGCAAAGCAGAGGCTGACCATGTGGAACCGGCACTGGCCGACGAGGACGAGAGCCTGGCAATAGCAGACCCAGGCGGCATCAGCATCGCCGCAGGCGGGACAGACCCCGACTTGTTAACCTGCGGACAGTGTCAGATGAACTTCCCGCTGGGAGACATCTTGGTTTTTATAGAGCACAAGAGAAAACAGTGCAATGGCACTGGTGGTGTCTGCTATGAAAAGAGCATGGATAAGAGCAGCCCTCCCCCCTCCTCACGCGCCGAGCTCAGGAAAGTGTCAGAGCCAGTGGAAATCGGGATCCAAGTCACACCCGATGAAGAAGACCGTCTTCTCACGCCTACAAAAGGAATTTGCCCCAAGCAGGAGAACATTGCAGGTACAGCACGTTTTACACTCAATCAACTTGCCTAGGTAATCTTTTAACTAGAATCCTCTAGAAAGTGCCATGAAACAGGCTTCAGCAACACGTCTTTATAGGAGCCATCCATCTGGAGGATCCTCACAGCTCTGCAAGGCTGTCCATCCCCTGTTTAATTCTTTGTAGTTGTCTGTGCAGGGCCAGCTGCTGGAGAAAGGGGCCTCTCAGGCAGCTGGGAGAGCTAAGGGGCAGTCTGTACATCTGGGAAAAAGCAGAAAGTTGGGGTCAGAAACCATTTCAGGAGCATCCTTAAGCAAGTAGCAGTGGCAGAGGGATAGGGGACTTTGATGAGGTTCCCAGTTCTGTCCTGTTCCAGATACCCTTTGTCACATGCAGACTTACTGGGAAGGGCTGCATCCTGACACTAGGAAAAGTCCTCTTCCCACTGACTGGTAGTGGGAAGAAGATTTCTTTGTGAAGGCTAAAGCAGGGTTTCATGAAGTCCTTCATTTTCCATTCCCTGGGGTAGATGTCAGCTTCCTGGCCTGCACTGTAGCCTGTGCTGCCTGTTCTGGGTCTCCTTAGATGGCTTGGGTTGGGTGGGTAACACCTCCACTCTCATGCACACCCCAAAGAGATCTTCTGAATAAGGATACAAGAGCATAGGCTGGCCTGAGTGAGTAAATTGCAGGCATTTCTTTTTCTAAAACTCTCACATGTGGTGAAGTTAACGTTCATTCAGTGGACCTCCCCCGCTCAGACGTGGGCAGGCAGGTGATGATTATCCACCTAGGTGAGGTGGTATGCAGTGGTTCCTGTAGAGTGCCTGGCATGGGGTTGCTTCCATCAAGCAGGGTGTTTTTCCCCTCTGCAGTGGTGAAAGGATGACTCTCCTCCCTGCTAGTGAGTGGGGGTTTTATGTTACACAGCAGGATCTCCCCTCAAATGGGCCTTTTTTGTTCAAACCAACTGCATCCCATACAGAAGACCAGTGACAATCTGCCTTTGCTGCCAGTATCCTGATTTATCTAGGAATTGTCCTATGGGATTAGATCTGACAGTCCAGATCCAGTCCTGCCTGTGGTAGAGATGCTCCCATGAGGGGATCCCCAGCAGACAGGTGAGAGGCTCCTATCTTTAAAACTGAAGCTTAAGAGGTTTAGCTTAAGAGCCTTTAGTGTTGGAGATGTCTGAGCAAGTCCCCAGCACCTGTGACAGGCTTGGGTATCACATCAATGAGGGTGTGGGCTTTAAAAGGCTGAGGGCTTCAGACCTTCTGTCTTTTAGGACAGGGCATACAATGCCCATTGATTATACTGTTTTCTTCTAGGACTATTTTTTTGGGGTGCAGCCACCACCCTGACATGGGGCAGCTGTTAGCTCTGGCAGCATTAGCTGTGGCAGGCCTGTGCTGTAGCACTGGAAGCAAACCCACCGTAACACCTGACCCTGTCTTTTCCTCATCCCTTTTCAGCTTTCCTCATCCTTTTGCAGTCGTGAATACATTTCTTGGTAGAGGTGATTACATTGTGGTGAAGCAGATTTGAGGGCTAGATTTCCTTTCCATTTGGTAGGAGCAGAAGGGAAGTATTCAGGACCTTCCCTAGTCTGCTGAAGGCTGCCTGAGTGCTGCTGAGCACTCCCAGAAGCTGTTGATCTGTGCAAGCTGATGGCACTCAGCCCCTTGCGGAGGGTGTGCAGCACTTTTTAGGAGAGCTCTGCTGCAGTTGCAGTCCAGAGCTCATCTCTTACTAATCTCTGCTCAAATTCAGTCCACAGTACCTCAGTGGCTACTCCCAGAGCAGAGGGTGCTGTCCCATCCCAGCTTCTCGGGGTCGGCAACAACATAACCAAAGCTTTTGCCATGCAGAAAATCTGCTGGGGTAGGAGGTCATGAAGGAAATGTTCACATGTGGAAAAGGCATAAAAAAAATTAAAAGCTAATCTGGAGCACCTAATCTCTTTCAGACTAAACTGCATATCAAATGAAAAATATGTAGGAAAGATTTTGAATTGAGAAAAATAAAAGGGTTTATCATTTGATTGGCATTTTCTCAGCAGTGCATGGAGATAGGGACATCCACTAAACAGTGCTGTAATAATACTTTCTCAATTAGGAGCCCAGCTCTGAGATAAAAAGGTGCAGTGTCCTTCCATATTTTTTTTAATAGCAGCGGATAGTTTTCAATAGTGGGATAAAAGCCTCACATTACAGCCATGGAGGGTAGCCATGAAAAACCCACAGAAGTCATTCACTGGAAAGGCTTTAGTGGGATATACCAAACCCCTTATTTATATTTCAATAGAAAGGCTTTCTGCATTAGCCAAGAAAATCAGAATCTGCATTTAACATTAAAGGTATTTCCCAGTGAGCGGCTGTAGAGCATTGTTGTTAGATTTGTTAAAAAAAGAGACTAAATACGATTTCATAAAAGGGAAACTTAATCTCTAAGGCAGCTTTCTCCTACCCTGCCACCCCCTCTCTTTATTTTTTTATTTTTTTTGTAATAATGCAACAGCCTACAGTATTTTTACTTTATATGTGACGAAAGATATTCTTAGCCTTTCTGTACTGCGACAGGAAGAATGAATTTCTTTATTCCACCAAGAAATATGTAAAATAATCCCTTAGAAGTATGGGGAGATATGTTTGTTCAAAGCATTTAAAATGTTATTTTAATCAAAGGCACAAAACACTCTACATGCTGTGTCAGCTAAAGGAGACCATTACATTTTAACAGCAAATCATGTTCTTTTTCCCCCTCCTAGCCAGCCCCCCCCTTTGAAACTAACTTTTTTTTTATTAAATAAAAAGGCGAAAAAGATTAAAGAATAAAAAAAAAAAACTTCAGTGGCTCAAATGTATAAAGTAATTTAATATGGTGGAAGCATTAATTATTTTAGCTTAATTGAATTCTGAGGACTGCAGTAGTTGCATTTTTGTAGACAAGCTCTGTTTATTATTTCTTTGTGTAGATTAACAGTAAAGGAAACATAGATAACTTTCAGTTATTTATTGTAAAATAAATGTGTCAATTCATGTGTAAAGCAAGCTGTTCAAAGATAATTGAGTCTTTATATTTGAAGAGGGAAACCAGAAATCACCCACTCGCCACTCTGGCTCCCTGAAATATGCTGCCACCACTGCTGTCCTCGAAGAGGTTTCAGCTCCTCTCCTTGATCCTGTGTTATTTTTGCAGACCTTCTTATTTGGTCAGAATGATTTGTAAAGCCTTCTGTGGTGTGACAAAGACACCAGACCTTACAGCTTCCCATGGCTGAATGCTCTGAGGGTATGTCAAGTGCTGAGCTTGGCTCTGCCCCATGTACCTCTCGTAGCTCTGGGTGTGAGGATATTGGGATGCAGAAACCGCGCTGAGTATTCATCCTGGCACAGGGTGCTCTTGAGGCCTTTCTTCCTCTCTTTTTTTTTACTTTCTGGGTAGCTCTTCTTGCCCCAGCCACTGAATGCCTCTTGACCACACAACAGACCTTGTGCTGCTTTGAGGGACACGTTGAGGCAGGGCTTAGGAGCCCACGAGAATTTTTATGTATGCAACACAAATCTCTGACAGACATTTCTATATTCCAGTGGAAACAAAGGCAACTTTGTCTCTGCAATCAGCTTTTAAAGATCTTCTGATAATGAAATCTGTCATCTTTCCCTGACTGGTAACTTGCAAATCCAAGTTTTGGAGGTGTTTTCATTTAGTTACCACTGTCCGTAAGATGTGTGGTAGCATGTCAGCTGGCACTGGGAGGACGTGACTTGCTTAGGAGCAGTCTGCCCTGTAAAGGTTTTTTTTTTCTGTTTTGTGAATTGGCTGACCTGTTTGAAAATCAGTTCTGCCTCTTGTACAGAGGGTGTGATAGTATCGAAGAGATGTACCAGATTGTTGCACAGCAAAACATAACCAGGCCAATGAGTTGGCAAGCAGTTATCGGTCACTGCTGCTTTTATTTCACTGCTGGCAGGTATTTTGGAAAAAAAATAGACCACTGTTGTATTTTATACTTCTTTTTATCTTTCATATTTATCAGATCTTGGGCATAACCAGGTGACCTGTCCTGGCTGAAGAATGACCTGGGAAGGTGCTCCCACTGTCGTTTCACAGATGGTATCTCATCTCTTCCCCATGGCCCTGTGGTCTGTTTGTTAGAAGGATTCTCTGAAACTACCCAAGTCAAAAAAAAAGTACCAGTCTGCCTGATTTTAATGCTAAGTGGTTTCACAGAACCCCAGCAAAGAGGAGGGAGCCTCTGTGGAGCAGGCACCACTTGGAGCAGAACTTCTCCAGATTCACTGGCAGGCCTGCACCTTCAGGCCAGCAGACCTTCACAAATATATAACTGCAGCAGCAGCAGAGGTTCACTAAGATGATGAGCTAATTTTTGCAAAGATAGTGCTAGGAAAGAGGAGGGGGTTGATTGGAATTCCTCATTCATCCTGTCCCAGCCACCAGTGCTGGGCTCCATACATTGTAGTAGATGTACATCATGAAAAAAGGCTCCCTGTCAGAGGCAGGATTTAACTGCAACCCCTGCTCCATGAATGTTCATTTCAGGCTTTTGAATGGTAAAACTGCCAGTGAGAGAAACTAAATAACTCGCATGTGCTGGAAACCAGAGATAAACACCGCTGCAGGTTGCCATGAAATGGGCTATTTGATATATTTAGAATTGTTATTTTTCTCCAAATTAAGATTAGTTAAATCCATGTGTGTTGTGTGAGTGACTGTTAACTCAATGGCATGGATTATCCTTTTTTCAAATCTTGACAGCTAATTATTATTGCTGCCTACCCTGAGACATTCTCTTACAATGTACCATTATGGACCCGTGCACCCATATTTAACTGCAGGACTCAGACAGCCATCGTGATGCCTTCACACGTGAGGGGAGGGAAAGGCGAGCTGAAACAACCCAAGGATGGTGACATCAGGCAGGCTGGGAAGAGGTGTTCTGAAGCTGAGATGGCACAGGGCTTGGTGGCTATCTCCTTCCCAAGGCTGTCATGG